TAACCTACCAAAAAAAACAGAAGTTGAGCTGTGGCTCAAGTGGTATAGCACTAGACTTGAGCAAAAGAGGCTCAGAGACAGCACCCAGACCCTGAATTCAAGCCCCAGAACAGGCACCAAAAGGAAGAAAAAAATCTAGGTTAAAAATAAAATGAATTGAGGTAGCTGGATATGGTGGTGTATGCCTGAAATCCCAACACTTCAGAGGCTGAGGCATAATCATCCTGAGTACAAGGTCAGGCTGGGCTAGACATCAAGACCCTGGCTCTGTCAAAACAAACAAATAAAAATGAATGAGGTAAGTAAAAAAGCCATATTCAGCAAAGCCTCATTTACCAAGCATTATCAGAAGATAAGAAATTTAGGTAATCATTTTTGAACAACTGAATTTTAAGTGTCAGAACCTCAAAAATTCTCAAAAAGACCTTGTGCTGATGTTAATATCTATGATTAAAACTTTAGCAATTCTAATTTTACTATTCTGAAACATCCACCTGTTGATGGCATTATCATGGTGCTCACTCCTTTCAAAGGAAGTAGGAAATGAGAGAGTAAGCATGCTCTGTAAAACTAGTCAATAAACATCTCACTGAAAGCCATCACTTCACCACAGGAGTTTGTGACCATTATTTTGGTACTCTCCTCTTTTCTTCTTTTTAACTAGAAGGCTGAATGCACATTACCGCTTAACTACAAAACAAGAAAACAAGAAAAGACAGCCCTTCCTCTTTAATCCAGGACTCTAGTTACCAAAATCAGTCAAGTGTAGTAATTAACCAAAGAGACTAGAAGGTACTGTACCTGGAAACTCCGATAGGAATTGTAACTTACTAAGGAATTATAACATTCTATATAAGCCAGTGACTTTTTAAGGATCAGAATCACTAGGAAAGGTGTTTTTTAAGGTCTAAATATTTTGGAATACAAAACAGAGGCAAAGAAATATGAACATACATACATTTAATTTTCATTAATTTCAATGGCTCCAAATTTGTAACCATCTTAATACAGAGAGTTTTAAATAAAATGACATATTTAGTCAGAGACTATCAAAAGATTCAGAATATATCTCCTTAGTACAGTTCAGCACAGTCATAAATGCTTAGCAGCCACCACTCCCTACATATCTACATTTCTAGCTGCCTAGAAATGTTTACCAAAGCCTCTATTAGCATCTTATTCCTACCTCTGTTACTGTTTTGCCTTAATCTTCACTCTTGCTTCTATTGTCTCATAATCCATTAAAAAGTCTCAATTTAAGATTAAGATGGAGTAAGTGAAACAAAAGTGCTACTACTGTTCTCTGGGTCATGGGAACCCAGCCAAGTAGAGGTGTAATGGAATTCAAGTGTTTTTTAATTATTTTAATTGATAAATCTTACATACTGTAAAGACTATCAAGATTACCAGGAACTTTATTAAATCTACAATGAGTCAAAAGTTATCTAAGTATACTGATTTTCATTTAGTTTGTTTATATAACAAAAATGTGCAGTTATAGAAAATTCAGACATTTTTCAATCAATTTTCTGGCATGCTACTTGCAGAAGAACCTGTATTTTATCCCTGTTTTTCAAAATGCAACAGGTTTACTGATACATGAATACATTTCATTCTAAACAGTACTTTGGGAAAAGAATTTTCCTTACAGAGCAAGTTACAGGAGTAGGACAGAGTTTTGTTTCTGTCAAGATACTGACCAATCATATTAACTGTAATGTGTTACTAACAAAAAGAATACTTGATACTGGCTTAAGTTACAGTGCTAGGTAACTATACAGAGTTGAACTATACAGTTTCCTTCATTGGGATGTAATAACTGAAGACAAGGTTTACAATATCCTTAACTGAAGGCAAGGACTTCTTTCCACTAAAGAAAAAAAACCAAAGATAGGCACTTAGGTCTGATTCTAAGTTCGAATTTGTCTTTCAGGACCCATGGGTCACTTGAACTTCTGGTCACCTCATCCACTTATTAATGAGTTACAGAAGCACAGATTCTACTTTAAAGAGTTCACTAAGATCTGAACAGTGGTATTGCATGTGTTCTTCGGAGCATACTTTTAAACTCAGGAAAAGTTATTTTATGAAGCCAGGAGAAAAATGAAATGCAGCACATTTAGTGGATATGTTACTGATCTAATTAGCACTTCATCTTTCAGTTTCTTTATGATTTAAAACGTAAGCAACCTTTACTAGATACTAGTTTAGACTTAAGAGGGGGAGAAGGTAAGTTCTGAATCACAGGAATTTTTGTTCTATTTCCTGTTAACACACGGAGGGTGCCACCATTCAACATATTAATTCCACATACATTTTCTTAAAAGCTGTTAAAAATCTCTCTTAAACTGCACACTTCTATAGCTCACAAATCTGGACAATTCACCCTACGGTTTCTAAGTAAAAAGCATACAATCAAATGAAAAGCGAAGTCTTCCTTTATGACAAACTGCTATGTTTTCAATTTTAAAGTTCCAAGTTGTCAAGTTGAAAAGTCAATAAGGAGTTCGTGAATTTAAAAGTATTCTGAAAAGGTATTAAAATTCTGCTACTATACCAAGAGTATGGTAAATAAAAGAGTATGGTGAATAAAAACTGAAAGCACAAATTTTATTCCATACCCATTAAAGCTGAAATTGCATAATGAGCAATATTTTGAAAACAGAAATGCATTCCTTTTATAAAATGTGAATCAACCTGACCCTAAAACTGAGCCAGTCACAAACTTACAAACTGAGTTAAGTTACAAACTTAACTGAAACAGACAAAATGGATGCAAAATTCTACTGCTTTACTGTTGGCTTGAATTCGACCTTAGTGTTCAAGAACTTTCCAATGAATAAAGGCACTGAAATGGGCTGCTCCTCAGCTCTGGGCACCTCAATTTCATGAAGCTCGGGAGAAAGTCTTGTGAAGCTGCACATAAACCCGCCCCCCCGCCCCCCACTCTCTTGGAAACCCCTCTTATCAGAAACATTTGAAGAATTTCTCCACAACAATTAAGCTGACTTGAATGGAAACCTAACATCCCAAATATACTATATATGGAATGAAACGTGGCCAAACACTTAAATACGAACTCGCACGGCCCCTGACACTTCGGCACACAACTCTGCGCGAGCCACCCTACAGCATCCGCCACGCACGGGCAGATCCACCTGTCACCTGTCAGCCAGGCCAAGGGACCCCCGGAGCCTCGCAGTTGGCTCGCCCACTGTCGCCGGGGTTTGGGGATCGGTCAGAAAACTAGAATGGTCCCGGGAACCCTAAGGGGCCACAGTCTCAGCGGGGCTTGCTCCCCACTTCAAACAAGGCTGCCGAGAAGCCCAAATCGGACCCCTGAGCAAACGTTCCACTGTCTTCTTCCCCCTCCCCCCCCAACACCTCGGTCCCTAAGTCATCTCCATGCCGACCTCGGTTCCCCCATTTGCCTCCCCCCCCATCCCCGCTCCCACGCGGGGGGGCGGGTCGGGAGCAGCAGCCCGCACCGCCCCCTGGTACCCCCTCCTCGGGGCTCCTCCGGGCGCCCCCTCCCCCTCCGCACAGACGCCCCGGAGCCCAGGCCAGGCCCGATGCTCCCCACCCCCACCCGGTCTGGAGGACTTGGGGGGCCTCCCTCGGCCTCGCCGCTGCGGGAAGGACAGGGGCGGAAGGGGGACGAGGGCGAGGGGGGGCGGACGCCCCCACGGGGGCCTCGCGAGTCGGTGGAGCACGTCTCCGACCCTGGGGAGGTGCGGGGGGCGCAGGGGGGGTGCCGGGCTGCGGACCCCGCCGAGGCCCGGCAGCGCCGTCCGCTTACCCTTCGCCGCCGCTTCCCCCTCCTCCTCCTCCTCGGCCGCCGCCGCCGCCTCTCCCTCTAGGGCAGCCGTCTCCACCGTCGCCGCCGCCGCCTCCGCCTCCGCCACCACGGCCGCCGCCAGCGCCGCCGCCGCCTCCGATTCCACCCGGCAGGGGGGACACCTCAGCCCGCCCTCCCTCCCCGCTCAGCGCGCTCCGCTCGGCCGCCGCCGCCAACTCCCTCCGGCCGCCGCCGCCGCCGCCGCCGCTCGTGGCCGAGGGGGAGGGGAGGGGGTCGGGCTGGGTCGCCCCGCCGGCGGCCGCTGCGGATCAAACGCGAAGGCTGGGCGGCGTCGTCGCGGCCCCGACTCCGGGCTCCGGTGCGTTCGGCCTCCCGGCCTCCTCTGCCCCCACCCCCTCGCGCTCGGCCGCCCTCCCCCCACCCCCCCGGCGCTCGCTCGCTCCCTCGCTCGCTCGCTCGCTCCCGCCGCGGCTCCGCCAGCCCAGTCCAAATCAAAATACTGTCACACAATATGGCGGCGCGGCGGCCGGCAAACATCGCGAGATTTGTGGCTGCTGCTGAGGCGGCGGCTGTGACGGGGCCTTCCCCCCCCTCACCCCCCCACCCCCTTCAGCAGCCGGGCGGCGCGGGCGCGGCGGCGGCGGCGGCGGTGGAGGTTGCGGCGGATGCTCGCTCCCCGCCCCCGACACGCGCAGTCCTCCACGCCCGTCGGGAGGAGGCTGAGGGGCGCGCGGCCTTGGACCTCGGGCGGCCGAGCGGCCGCGTGCACGGGGGCTGCCGGGGCGGAGGCGCCCGGCCACCGGAGGGGTGCAGCTAGGGCCGCTAGGGGTTCGGGCTGACAGGAGGAAGGAACTCCAGCTCTGTGGTCCGTCGCACTGGGGTCCGGAAGCGGGTGGCGGGCCCCTGAGGGGAGTGGGGCCCCGGGGCCCGGGTGGGATCCCGCGGGCCGTCCGGGGACGGGACCGCGGCCGGCGCCGGGAGCAGGTGGGCCGCGGCGGAGGCGGGGGCCGGGCCCGCCCGCAGGACACACCCCCTTGGCCGCGCCGAGGCCGCTGCGCCCCGGTGACCGGCCGGCCGCGTCTCCCGGCGGTGCCGGCCGTGGATGGGGCTCGCCGCGTCGGGGCTTCGGGCTCTCACTTCCTTTGAACAGTGGGGAGAAAGCAAGTTAAAAAAAAAAAAGGAAAGGGGGGGGGGAGGATGAAATACTGCAAGGGGTTTGCGCTTTCGATTTAATTTTAATTGCATGTTCCTAGAAGTTCCAGAAACGGAGCCAAAGACACTTTAGTTTTGAGGGGAGAGGGAGAGACTTCAAGTTTCTATCTTCTTAAAGAAATATTTGTTTAATTTCCTCCTGGAGGAGAAAAAAAAAGTTCAACACTCGAACGTTTCTCACAGTGTAAAATGTGTATTTTAAAATTCTAGCGCTGTCATAGTGTTTTGTTTCTTAAAAAGGGCATTTTTTTCTGCCCCTGTCCAAAATGTCCAGAACGCTGCCAGTTTCTTCCTTGAAACAATTGTTACTCCGGAGAAAAATCCATAAGGATCAATTTTATTCTTCTGTTTCCAGTATCAGCTGTATTGCTACAATGAGACTTTTATTTGAAAGCATTTTTTAGTAAGTATAGCTTTCCACCCACTTTCTTTTTCCCTTGCTCACTCTTTAAAGTCACCTGACATATTGGGGTATATGGCACCCATTCAAAACCTTTACCACTTGAAAAGCCCAAAATGCTAATGTTATGATACTGGAATTTATCATAAACAGAAGCTAAAGTGAAGTAGGACTTCCAGATGATGCTGTAGTTTTACTGGCTGGTAGCAGTAAGAAGTCATTGAATCTTAGTACTTTTCAGCGGTTCTCTCTGAAGAGCTATTTCCATAATCAGTAATAGTATAATTGATGCAGTAATTTAGATAAATAGAATCCATTACTAAGTAAATAACGTCTTTGAACCTATAAGCACAAAGTAAACAAGTGCTTTTGAATTGTTTTAAGTAAAATATTTTTGAATTTAATTTTACTGCCAAGGTGATACACCAAGAGGTTTCAGTTACATACATAAGGTAGTGAGTGCATTTCTTGTCGAACATTGAAGTAAAATATTTTTTAAGTAAAATATTGTTTTTATGGGATGTTCATGTACATATTTTAATAGAAGTGCAATACTTTCTAACTTCTAAGTATACTGGGTGGGAGTAGATCCAGTCTAAGACCCAATATGGCTGGGGGAGGAGAAGGATATGTGTGAATATATCCTTGTACCAACTTTGGAGAGCTTGAACCTAGATCTAATTATGGAATATCAGACAGACCTAAACAGAAGAAAATTCTATAAAAGAACTAGCATTAGTATATGTTCAAAATGCTGTTAATGTAATAAAGAAAAGACTTAAGACTAAAGGAAACAAAAGGAACATGACATTTAAATGAAGTATGTGCCCTGAACTGGATCCTTTGTCAGAGGAGAAAAATGATATGAAGAATACTATTGGGAAACTGAATATGGACTGTGGATTTGATATATTAAACTTTATGTATATTTTTATGCAAAAATATTCACATTCATAAGGAAACATAGAAGTATTAAGGAATAAAAACACGTTAACATGTATGTGGTTCAGAAAAATTATGCATATTATATATACCACGTTTACATATATATATATACATTATACATATATAATGTATATGTATACACATTATTATAGATATGTATATACACACATTCACATCTACCTACACATACAGAAGGAGATGATGTTTGAAACTTGGTGAACCAGTGTTATTTTTAACTTAAAATATTTAACTTAAAAATTAAATTTTAAGCTGGACGCTGGTGGCTCATGCCTGGCATCTTAGCCATTCAGGAAGCTGAAATCTAAGGATCACGGTTCAAAGCCAGCCCCGGCAGGAAAGTTCATGAGACTCTTATCTCCAATAAACCACTCAGAAAACTACAAGTGGTGCTGTGGCTCAAGAAGTAGAGCACTTGCCATAAGCTGGAGAGCGCAGGGACAGCACCCAGGCCCAGAGTTCAAGCCCCACAACCCATGACCAACAAAAATTAATTAATTAATTAATTAATGGAGACAATTCTGTATTACTGACATCTTTTGGAAAATTTCAAATTATCACAAAATAAGTACTTTTATAAGCAGAGTTTGGGCTGAGGATATATAGCTCAGCAGTAGCAGTAGAGCACTGTTTACCCCACACAAAGGCCTGAGTTTGAGCCATAGAATATTAATAAAAAGGGAGTAAAAAACTTTTAACCTAAAAGTAGTTCTTTAATCTCACCCAGAGAAGGAATAGTATTAGTATGTACTAGAGAAACATAGATGATACATCCTCTTACAATGGAATCAGACATTTGTTCCTCTGTAACAGACTGAAATTTTGGTCATCTAGGGATTTCTTATTGAGTCTATTAGAATTTAGGACAAAAATACTATGAATCTTTATGTGTTTTGTAAATGTGATCTCCATGTTTATTGAGGCAGTGAATATTCAGCATCTGTTATCCATAAGACTGGAGGAAAGGAGTAGAACAGATTGTTACTTCTAGGTACTGTCTGCAGTGATCACAAGAAATGCATGTGATACATATATATATATATATATATATAATATATAATGAATATATAATTTGCTATATAAAATATAGTATATATAAAAATATATCCTAATATATACGTACACAATTATATATACATACACATTACATGTATACTGTATATCATTATGTTAGATATATATTCTGTATTCAAGATCCCTTTAGTACTATGCTTTCTGATGGTGTAACCATTAACTGACTATTTAAATTTGAACAAAATTAAAATTCAAGTTCTTAGTTGCACTGACCCTTTCTCAAGTGCTGTAAGCCATGTATTCCATCTTCATGGAAAATTTTATTCAACAGCATTGGTAGTAGAAGAGGTTATGCTAAACAACTAGCACAGATGGAGGGTAGATGATGATAAATGGTAGAGGCTTGGGAAAGAAGAGACTGCTTTGCAAAGGGTGGACATGGGAGAGATAGGTAAAGTTTCAAGAAGATTGCATGTGGACAGGTGGAAGTGAAGCGTAAGTATCCCATCAGAGATAACATGAAAAAGGCAAAAAAGAGATGTGTGAAGACAGCACTTAATTCTGTATATGTATAATAATAGTTTTACAAAGGATAGGGCTGTATAACAACCACAAATGCCAAGCAAAGACTAATCTCTGCAAAGACTAAAGGTCTTTGCATGAGACATAAGATTAAACAGTTTTTTTTAATGGATAATTTGGTAGTAGTTATGTGAAATGAGTTAGATTTGAAGCCATAAAGAGAGCATTGCAATTGCCCAAATGAGAGATAATAAGTTTATATATTGTGTCCTATCACTGAGAATGTTTTCAGTGGCTTGTGACAAAGCCTAATTTAAAATAAACACTAAGCTGGGTGCTGGTGGCTCATACCTGTAATCCTAGCTACTTAGGAGGCTGAGATCTAAGGATCAGGGTTTGAAGCCAGCCCAGGCAGAAAAGTCCTGTGAGATTCTTATCTCTAATAAACAATTCAAAAACCAGAGTGGTGCTGTGGGTCAAGTGGTAGAGTGCTAGCCTTGAGCACAAAGTGGCTCAGGGCAAGTGCCCAGCCCCATGACCAACAACAACAACAAAATAAAGAAAATCAATAATAAGGAAATGTATATTTCTGAAATCTGGAAACTCTAAAGTAGATAGACCAGGTTTGAAAGAATGAGCTCAATAATATCATTAAGGACCAGGTATTTCAAATTTCTTCTCTGCTATGATGGATGTTAGCATCCTTCTGTGCCTAACAACCTGGTGGTAATGGTAGTTCAGGGCATCCTGAATGATAGTGTTCAGAGGAAGAAGAGAAGTTGCCTTAAGAGAAAGAAAATGTTTTCAGAGCTGCTTCCCCTGCTCCTGACTAATTTCCTTTCCCATTCCTTAAGATGTAATTGAATCACATACCCATCTTGAACAAGTCCTGGTCTACATGATGGAACAAGTATTCAGCTAAATGATGGAAAGGTGAGACTCAGGATGATTCAAAGTTGGAGCCACATGACTGGGAAACACAGAACGAGGAGCAGGTATGAGAGGAAAGATGATTTTTCTGAGTGTGAGATACCAGAGATGTCCAGCTGATGATGGGAGGAGGAGGGACTGGGGATGAAGTGGCAGCTCTTAGCTATCTATAAGAAGCATATGAGAATCACATTGAAAGCCAAAATATAAAGTGGAGGAGAAGGGACATTTTCTGAGACAAAATACAGAAGAAAGGAAGAAAATCACAACATGTGTGCATGTATAAACTTAAAGCTGGTCTAAGATTTATTTGGAGATGTAAAGGCCTAAAATAACCAAGACAATTTTGAAGATGAAAAAGCTGAAAGACTTAGTTTACCAAGTTTCAAAATTTATTATAAAGCTTAGTAATTAAGACAGTGTGGCAGAATGATAGATGAATGCACCCAAGGAGTAAAATAGAGAGTCCAGAAATAGAACTTGAGAACTTGATTTATGACAAAGTCACTGCTGCAGTTTAGTGGAAAGGACAATATTTTGAACAAATGGTGCTGGAGCAATTGACTACTCATCTGGTAAAAAAAAAAAGTGTATTTGATTCCTACCTCATGCCATGTACAATAATTAATCCAAGGCAGACCATAGACCTACATGGACAAAAAATTAAGCTTCTATTGTAAGAGTGTATTCGGTAATGGGCTCAAATCAGGCATATATAAAAGTATTTAAATCTGTATGAAAAAACAACATGAGTTTTAAAATGAGAATAGCTCAGGCCATGGGTTCAATATCCAATACCATAAAAAAATGTGTGGGGGAGACTCTTAAGTACTTCACAAAGATGATCTCCAAATACCCAGTTAATTCATGGGAAAAGGTTCAACATTATTCCATATTGAGAAAATACTAATTACTAAATGATTCATTACTTCCTTCTATCAGAATGTCTAAAGTTAAGAAGACTGACAGTGCCAACAGGGTTAGCAATGAAATATGTAAAACAACCTGAACTCGGCTATTGCGCATGGGAATGTAAACAGTCCAACTACTTTGCAAAACAATCTACAAAAGCCAAACTTATGTCTACTCTGTATCTCAGAATGATGGGTAATTTTAGATGCTAACTTTATTGGGCCACCATGCCCAATTATTAATTATAATTATTCGAGGTATTTCTGTGAGTTAGTTTTAAAATGAATGGAATCTAAATAAAGCAGATTGTGCTCCGTAACTTGGGTGGTCTCATCCAATCAATTGAAGTCCTAAATAGAATGAACAGACCAACTCTTCACTAAGTGGGAAGAATGTACATACATAAATGTTTGCAATGGTTCCTGGCACGTGAAGTGTTACATAAATATTTATTAATTTTATAATTGATATGGAAACTGTATGCTTTTTAATGGATGAAGAACTACATGGTAAGAGGGTTTTTTTTTTGTAGCCAGGGGAAGTTCAAAAACTTTTGGATGGGAAATATTACAAAGTATAACATAAAATATAGGGAAAACATGCTTGTATCTGATTTAAAAAGTCAATCATTGTACAAATATTTTTGAATATCTTTTCTGTGTGAAATATTACATTAGAGGATAATTATATTGTGATAAAGAGGATAGTTTTTGTCCTCACAAAATTTATAGATTATGGAGACTAAGAATTATATACCAAATATATAAGATGCTATTAAAAATCATAAGGAGAAAAACTCACAGGCCAATAGAAGAAGAGCAAGAAGAGATTACAAAAAGTATTGCTAACAGTCAATAAATACAGGAAAAAAATTTAGTCTCTGTAGGCAATTTCACTCAAAACCAGTGAGATTTATTTGTTAATGGCTTAATTAAAAAATAAAACTCCAGTGTTGGCATGGTAGATAAACTGGCATTCCTATATCCTGGGAGTGGGAGTGTAATTGGTGTGACCTTCCGGCAAGGCAGTTTAACAACATGTATTGGAATTTTAAATATGCAAACTGTTAGACCCAGAGATTCCACTCCTAAAGAAATAATTGGACACATATTTGAAGGTGCATACCCAAGGATGCTACCCTCAACATCCCTTAAGATAGAGTTAAAATGTAGATAACTCGAGGGAATATTATTCAGTGACCATATATAGATCTGTATATAGATCTATATATAGTACCATGAAATGATGTCACAATATTAAGTGAGAAACTAAGGTAAATTTCATCACAGATTCTAAAAACTAGAATTTTCTCTGAAGATGTGAATATATATTTGAATGGGACTATATGTTAGAAAAAATATAGAAAGAGATTATCTTTGAGTAGTGTCATTCTAGGTGACCTTTGTTTAATTTTTTGAAATACCTTTTATTTTGTCATTTTCTAAATTTTTACTGAATAATATTGCATCTATGTCAATAAATGAAAGTATTAAAATTGTTCCCTAAATATTCTTTCCCCCCCAAATCCTTTGGGAATGACCTTTCTAAACAAATTTTTATTATTAAGACTCAAGTTTTGCACATTCATTTTTTTCTATCCTAAGTCAGGAGGGAAATCTCTGCAAATAATAAAATATTTCAAGAATTTGCAGCAAAATGACAATCACAGAGTACTGACCTCATTTCCATGATGGTTAAAAGAACTGAAGGAACAGAAGCCCTGATAGACATCAGACCAGAAATCTAAACAGCATTGTCCTCTTTGAAGTAGGTTCCTTGATAGGAGGCTGGGTGGTAGAACAGGAGAGAGCTAAGGATTTTGCTTCTTCCTTGGTTTGCCATTGGCTTATTCCCAAAACTTCCCAGATGTCCACATATACTAGCCTTCAGGGTGCAAGAGAACAATTTCCTGTGTCCCTGCCATTCTTCTCTCAATCTTGTTGAGTATTATTCACTCTCCTTTCTTGCTATTGAGTCACCTTGGCTCAATAACCACTATTATGCTAAGATGGCCAAAAACTTCCCTAGTTCAATCCAGTCTTCCATGGGCCTATGGGGTATAAAGCTTATCATACTTTAGAAAGAATTGTACTGTGACTCACAATGATACCCATCAACGAACAGAAAATGTTTATGTCCCAGCTTCAGATCTTGAGGCCAGAGGAGACAGACCCCTGAGACTATGAGTTATTGTAAAGAATCTGATTTCATTTAAGTCTCTAGTATGGTCTGGAAACTAAATAGACAAAAGTACAATTACTGTTGTTTAGGGAATCCACATTTTAAAAAAGATTAAAAAGCAGTTCTCATTCTCAAAAAGTTTACAAAGTGCAAAATTAAGATAATAAACTTTGTATAGTCTTTCATGCCTTCGTATCTGTGCATGCACAATTTCCTCTTCCTGTCTCCACCAGCACCTGGTGAACCCAGCAAGAGCATGATGCCCAGAACACAATGCGTTTTCAATAAGACAGTTTAGTCCAGAGTTTATAGGCATTTAGGACAGACCTGTAACTCCCCATGTACTTCTTTCTCTTATTTCTCTGAGAACAAAGTTCCAAATAAATTAAAAAAATCGAAACAAACTTTGTTGTGGTGCTTGGAGGTGGGGATAAGAAGCATTGGATAATTTTCATGTTTCTAGACTTAATTATTGCTTTGCTAACTAGAAAAATTCATAAACATTTCTAGACATCTTTTTTCCAAAATAAATGTTGAAATGTTTGCTATTGTAAAATGGAAAACCTTATGAATTCTGAAGTACTCTATAATAATAAGTCTATGTATCTGAATTGGAGGAAAAAATAACATGTTAGGGAAGTACTTGTGGACTTTAGTTTCAGCTTCTATAGCATTTCTTTAAATAAAATTTAAAAGAACGCTACCTCAGATTTATGAATAACTGCTTTGTCTATCTTACACTCAGAGTCAGCATTTCATCAGAGAACTTTGTGTTCTATTTTTTTCTTTTTCTTTGAATACTTTTCTTTCCCCTTGATAATGTCAGGGTTCTAGTTTCTAACAACTCATCTATTAACAGCAAAAAACAGGCAGGAGGGTTGAGATAAGGAAAAGATTAGGGAGTGTTTTTATACATTTAATGGCTCCTGAGACTCAGCAGTCTTGTGAGATTGGATATGGTCCTTAGAAAAAGGAAATGTATTCAAAGTGACAAGCTATGGCAGTGTTTGAATTTTAAGCTCCTGGTGAGCCAAGTAACATTATGAGCTCTTATAGCAGAATTTGACACTAGATTATGGTAATACACATTTGTACCCCAAGTCTACCTCACTTATAGTCAACATTTTAGAAAGATATTTGACTAGCAAGATATTCTGTTTTGGACAAAATAGTTTTCAACATTTTCCAAGACAGGATTCCAATCTGGAATCCAGACTGCTGTGTGAAGCCACCATTAAACAAGTTAGTTTAGTCCTTTAGATAAGACGAAGGGATCCTATGGGGTCCTGATCATGGTGCACACCTGTGTAATTTCCCATTGATAGTTGTATATTATGTGCAGAAATTACTATTCTCTTGGAAACTCTGTTCACCTTCATTTTAAGATTTTTTTTTTGTGGAGAACAGGAATTTTACTTTATCATAGGAAGTAATAAACTGGCATACAGATCATTTTAAGATTTTTTTTTTTGTATTTGAGAACGAAATCTTTATAGCACAGGCTTCCAACTATCTCAATGTACACATAGATTCCAATGTCCTTACTATTCCAAGTTATAATGGCCCCAAGATTCCAACAGTCTCTCTCCTGTTGTTATAGTTTCCTTGCCCACTAGTGAAGGAGAAAAAACTCAGATGTTCCTTGAAGCATCTCTGTAACTGTTGGTTTCTTGCCATGCTTTCTTGGTTTAGAGTTGCATCAAGTACCAGACATTTGTCAATGATGAAGTTCTATGGTTCTGAGTGTGAAAGATGATGGCCTCTTGTTTTCATGCATGCTCTTCTTTGTTATCCAAAACCACTATATACTGTAGCACCTGATACACAATTTCAATTTGCACATGGTTTACATTTTTGCCAAATTAGGCAATGCATTTGGGGAACCTAGTCAGAATCTTCCATTTCCATGTGGCAGGATAGAGTATGGAATACTCCACGATTAAGGCCTTTAAAGATAAGTCCTATGCTCTCTCAGTCTTCAGCTCACACTTCCCTGACAGTGCCTCCTTAAGATGAATTCCCTCAGTCTGTCATTACCTGTCTTTTATTCACAGTGGAAGGGTTTTACAGTCGGGGGGAGGGGCGGGGAGAGAAAGATGGTTCTAGACCTATTCCTGATAGTAAGTTCCACTGTATAGCAAGCACTAAACTAGTCTCAAGGATTAATATTCAATCAGGATAAGGTTGAAAGAAAGTTCAACCTTGAGTATTCTCAGGACCATACTTTTAAATTAACACACAGTACTGCAGAATCTTGCAACTAGAAGTGATTTCAAGGATTATTTCATCCAGCTGCCTTACTCTTGTAAGAACTGATTGATTTGCTGAAGGTCAGGGTTATTGACAGAACCAGTTTGACACAGATTAAAGTCAAATATTGCCACCTTGCATCAAAGATTCAGCAAACATAGCTTGTCCATCAAAAACATTCTGTTTGATCCTTTCTTTTATATGAGGGAAGTAGGACCTTTAGCTTCTAGGATCAAATATGTAAGACATTTAAAATATTTTTTAAACCAGAGTGCGTATTAACAGTATATAAAAGGGATCCTTTTATTCCAATTCACCAGGATTATAGTGTCTAACCTCAGTTAACTTATCTCTCTTCTCCTATAATAGATACCATTCCTATTAATACTCAGAAATAAAAATTCTTTAGAAGCAATAAGGAAAAATCATTGTCTTCATGTTGAAACTTCATCTTTACCTAATTTAGCCAGCATCATTTAGCTTCAATTTGATCTAATAAAAACTTGGGTATAGGATAGAATAGTTTACCTTAATTTTTACCACACTATTAGGCAGGCTAGAATAGTTTACTTTAATTTTCTACCACAATATTAGCCTTATTACTTTCTCTCCTTTGTTAATTCTATCAGCTGGAAAGACCAGCTGACCAATCGACACTAATGCAATTACCCGAGTCTCTTGACCAAAGTTGATATTTCAAACCAGCATTAGTTATACTCATAGATAAAGGTTTTCTATTAAAATCAGATTTTTAATGTACTTTTCTCTCCCACTATAATGCTTTCCATTTTCTTTTATATATGAAATACATAAAAATATTAATAGTTTCACAGCCAAGGAATAAAAATAAATCCTATATTCCATTTAGCCCCATAAAGATTCTTTAATCAAATCCCCAGTAAAAAGGAATGATTGATAGTAATAAGAGTGATAGACTGCATGGGCA